CATACCTGCATACCTACAAGAATATCCACTCACAACACACACACATGCGTGCACGCGCACACACGCACACACACATACACAAAGAATTGAATACTGTGCAGCCATTCCTCTTTAATTGTTCCCCCATCTCATTCACCAACTGGCAAAAAAGTTGCTGGATAAAGTTTGGCCTTCTTTATTCTTGCTTATCAGTAGGAATATCAGTATCAGTAGGAATATCAGTAGGGAGATCAGTAGATCTCCCACTAGATCTATGTTTGGTATTTGTAAGATCAATATTCCCATATCTGAAAAACAAAAATTAGAAGAAGCATCCTGTGCCAGTAAAGTATCTGGTCCTTCTGGTAGCTGTAGCAAAAGTGGCCACAAAGGCACACAACCTCTGGCTGGACAGGAGGAGGAAGCCCTGCAACAAGCCAATGGGAACCCAACAGATAGCGGGCCTCCAAAATTTCCTTTTCCACGACACCTAGAATGTCTGCATGGGAGACCTTCTGCTGGTATAGAATGGAGAACATTTCTCTCATACCAGAACACCTTAGTTCAACTTCAACTGTCATAGCAGCAGGCTGGCAACAAGGTGGAGATTCAGTTGTGAGGACAAGTCCCCAGCAAGCTGTAAGTGGGGCATCTTCATGCCACAGCAACCAGGATGTGTAGATAAGCCCTAGATCTCTTATTTCCTTTTGGTTGGCTCTACCATTTTGTTTCTCTTGGAATGTCCCCTCTCATTTTGTTGTTGGAGCTATTATTTTCTTCTACACTTGACGTTTGCACTGATTTGGCATTGGCATCACAGGGTTGTGTTCTGACAATATTGCCATCCAGAGAAGGTGAATCATTTTTTTTTCTATCTTGTCTTCAGTACAGCTCTGATTGCAAAACTTCTATTGTACAATTGGTGAAGTTGGAACTAGATCTTTTCCTATTCACAGGAACTGTTGCCTTCCTCTGCTGGAATTTGGAGTTCTCTGGGAGATTTCATAGGCAACATAATAGATTGAATCTTAGTCTTTCTAGTCAGTTTCATGGTCTCCTTTAAAGCTTCCCACCTTAATTTTCCTTGCCTGTGTAACCAGTGAACAACAAACTCTTGCCTCACCTTGACACCCAGGTTTTGGGCTCAAGGGAGTTAACTTTGTCTCACGCTCATATAGAGATTTTACACTGTAACCTGCCACCATAGTCGCAACTTTTCGACAAATGCCAGGTTGCAAAGCTGTAATGCCATGCCATTATCACCACAGCTTTCAACAAAAATTTATGTGCAGAAAGAGTAAGGTGCTAATGACCTGGTAGTTTTCTTCTTGTACCAAAAACTCAGCAGGAATAAAGACACAATGAATAATGGCACAAGCAACCTGAAAATTAGTAAAGGGAAACAATGTCTTGTGGGTGTCCTCAAGAAGCAAAAAGGCCCGGCTGGAAATGGATGTAATATTTTCAGTATGGTCTGGAATTCTTTCTGGGATGAGTTAATTTGAAACAGGATAAAATTCTGTTTCATCCAAAAAAGTTCATAATTTGAATTTCCCCCAATGAGCATCTGACACCTACTGTTCATTAGCGGTGTTTAACCTTTGAATATGAAGGTTTCCTTCAACTTTGATGGTTACTGGTGATTGAATGATAGATCTATTATTCATTAATCTGTTAGTGTTTTTAAAAAGCGCTCAGTTCTGAGACTATGCATAATATTAAATGGTTCTACCTATATACAAGTAGTATTGAGCCTTGATTAAGAAAATTCCATTTGAGAAGTTTAAACAAATAAATGAAAGTGATGTAAGGGTTGCCCCGTTCGACAGAGAAACTCTCGTGACACGTGTGGTTCACAAAAGAGG